CTGATGTCAGCTCACATGACATTATAAAAAGTCACTTGACATGACAATATGACAGCTTGTATGACAGTTGACGCGACAGCCTACGAGGACAGTATGTATGTATGTATGTATGAGGCCACGTTAGGTAGCAGAACAAAAGCCATACCTTCCTAAGCCTCTATCACACTGAGTTTAACCATCTGGCGGCCACCACACCTCGCTGCCAAAAATCATCTTGTAATCGAGAAAAATTATAAACACCCGTGGGGATTTTAGAACCATTCCACCAATCACAAGGAACCTTAGTGAGCATTGGTTGTCGATGGACCAATCACAAGGTACCTCAGTGAACATTGGCTGACGATGGACCAATCAGAGAGATACACGGGAATGTTTGCTATTTCCTCGTCCGAATTTCCCTGACAGGCGAGGAGTCACTGGCAAGTGGTGACGTTTAGCTCTCATTAACCACGTCTATGGTAATGACTCACACGCCCAGAGATACAGGTGTGAGAAACATGTTGCTTAAGTGTGTTTCTCATCTCTCTATACTTGTTAATCAGTAGCAGATATTTCTCACCTGTATATATATTCCCTTTTACTGTCCCATCACCTACGGGGTTCACAAGAACTAAACCCAATGGATAAATATAATAGTTCTCCCTACTTATGTACAATAAACATTTAAGACTGTCAGCGTCTAATCCAATCTGATGGTTTGAAGGCCACAGATCACAGCATTCTTCAGCCAGCGAGCTCATAGAGAGACAAATGACTATTATACGTCAGTCGACTTTAACTTTGGACCAAATTTTACTCAATATTTTCCTGTGCCAGATAGCCCCCTCCCCATCAGCTAGATATATCGTATCCATCACAGACAGACAGACAGAATCAACCACTGTATACCTGTCGATGTCACGCACCAAATAAGTATCGACAAATTTTATAAACAAATTTTAGACAAGTCATGGAAGAACCACTAAAAAATTATCACTTATTGTACAAATCAGGTTCTTGTAAGTGTCGGTAAAAGTCATCAGGTTATTTACGATCACGAGCCAGCCAGCCAGCCAGCCATCACCAGTTGGAGGCGGCTCACTGCTGGACCTGCTTGGCGTGGGTGACTGTATCTCTGACATAAAGTTTACTGCCAAGTCTTGTTGTCTCTTGTCTGTGTCTGGGTTTATGTGCTGCCCTGTGTGTGTGTGTGTGAAAAGTATATATATATATATATATATATATACACACACGTTTATGTACAGTATGTGTGAAGAGTAAACACTGTGTGAGAGCAATATACATACCATATATATATACAAATGAATGTATATGCTCGTTAACACTACTAAACAGGCATCTATAGACATCAACCCACCTGCCTGTTCACCTTGCATCCCCCTCAACGTTCAACACAAAACAATTAGTGTAATTCAAGGTTACACACCCCGAACAGTCAAGCCAGTTAACACACAGGTATAGTCTCCGTACACACCATCTCTTACACCTCACAATATCCCTCTTTCAGCTTCGAGTCGAACGCTGTCTCTTGTACCACTCATGAATAAATTATCACCATTATATTAGAAAAAAATACACAGTGTGGTTTAGATTAGAATACTAGTTAATTGTAAATCAGTGTCATCGAAATCCTGTCTTTAAGTAGGATGATTCCGAGTGTAAAATTTGTTTTCTTATTATTAACAGGTGTTTGTGGTTCACCTGTTGTATGTGATCCTTGTGCTTTATATACTGCATAGGGATGGGCATAGTGTGTCTGTCTAGTGATGGGGGGTCACACACACACACACACACACACACACACACAGTGAAAGACAAACACACTCACATAAATAGAGACTAGCATACACAAACATACCCGCATACACACAAAATAGTTAGATAGACAGACAGACGGAAGCGCGGACAAACAAGCACAGCCACACAAACACAGGGAACAAGGTCAGTGTGGGTGGGTTACAATCGCCTCGCCCACCATCACCACCTCCCTCCACTCCAACACATACTCTTGTGGGCGTAGGTGGGGCGGGCGTAAGGGGGATATATCACATGAATAAATAAATAATCGAAAAAATATATATAAATAACCTAACACGGGAATAAACTTAAACAAATAAATAAACAAATATTTAGACAAATTTACAAATAAAATAAACAGGAGTCAAAAAACATCTAAACTAGAATAAATTGTTGGAGGAAACTGCGGTAAGACGGTAAAGAGCTGGACTTAGTAACACAGACCACCTTATTTGAGCATATCGAGGTCAGCTGACGTCATCGACAGGTCAACTGACGTCATCAGGAGGTTAGGTGACGTCATAAGGTGGGGGAGCAGGTAAGCAGTAACGTGTGGGTGCCTCCTCAACCTTGTGTAAATGACAGGTAACATCCTTTACGACGTTGGCGAAAGTTTCTCTTTTACATGATACTGATCTTGCATAAATTTCTCTTTAATATAACTGGGAAATAATGAAAATGGTTTCTCTTTTATGTGATCCTTACTTTTTTCTTTCACTTATGTTTTCTTCGTTCGTTCTCTCTAATATCTCCTTTCCTCCCTCCTTCACTTTCCATTGTGTTTCCTTTCTGATTTTTTCCCTTCGTTTTCACCCTCCCTCCCAGTTCCTTCACTCTCTCTCTCTTTCCTCTCGTACCCCTTCCATTCTCCTCACATCCCTCCCCCCCCCCTACCTTGTCTCACCTCCTTCCCAACACTCAAACGTTAATCTTTTTGCCTTAAAAGGTAAAAAAATAAAATAAAAACTAATAATTACCACCACCCAGCCTGCTTTCACCTCTTACCAAAACATATCTCATTTACACACAGCGTCCTCCAGACTACTAAATTACCCCCTCAAGGAAGATATAGGTGGGTCCCTCCCTCTCTCCTCCCTACCCCTAGAAAGTATCGTATGCAGTGGGTTTTTAATGTATACAAAGGGATAAGATTAACATAATTTGAAGGTCGCGTGGATGTGTTCTTTGTCTATTCAGGACTTTGGTTTCTCACCGAGTTGACTAAATTATTTGACTTGTGGATTTAAAATGGTTAGTTGAATGAGTTATGTCCTCCTACACAAGAGATTAAGGTATCGTTCCTCAGAGACTGTGTATTAATTATATTCCTAAGTATCTGGTTAACAAGACCTCAAGTATAATTTCTGCCATTTTGGACGTTGTGTGAGGTAATATGACTTTTTTACACTTGAGTTAGTTATCATACTTAAAAGGTAGAGTTCTCAGGGCTTATCGTACTCCGAACCTAAAGTTAACGCAATTTAAACTTTTAATTTCTAGAACCTGACTTATCGTAGGCAAGGGGAGACACCCACCGTGTGACAGTGTGCGCGCGCGCTTATTGGTAACTCAGAATAATTCTTGTTGATGTGATAATCCATTTATTCTAACCATCTGTTGCCTCGTCATCAAAACATTACCGAGTACAATAAATTCTCTTGTATAATTTATCAGTTATTTATTCATACATTGATCTATCGTTACTACTTTTCTTTTATAATTTATTAGTTATTTAATGATACATCGCTCGAGTGTTTCAGCGGTGGGAAGGATACTCAACTCTCCCCTCTCCTCAGGACTGGTAGATCCTGTCTGACGAGTGAAAGGAAATATTATAATCCAATTCTCCATTTTTATATTGTTCATTCGGTGTCCAATTTCTGCTACTAAACCTTGGCAAAAATGTATCATCCTTACTGAATAATATACGATAAAATAAACTGTTTTTTTTAATTGTTTCAAGTTTTAATGATTTTTTTTTCTTTTTTTTTCTTTTAGAGAGAAATTAACTTACTGTTTCACCTCTCTCGATCAATTTTAATTTGTTTTGAGAGTTTGTTTAGGATGACAAGATAGAAAGAAACGATGTCGCAAATATGTACAATTATGTGACGTCGCAAATATGTAACAATTATATGATGTCAACAATAGCTTGATATCGTGATCTGGACATAAGTTAAGTGTTATCAGCATAGATGTCACCTTAAAGATGTCATTCATTAAGCCCCCCAAACCATTTATCTCCAAAAAGTAAATTTCTATCACTAAGGAACATAAACATCGTATATTAAAGCCAATACCTGGTACTATGGTAATTAAGAGAATACGTAAATAACCAAACCTAACCTAACGTAACCAAACCTAACGTAACAATCTAACCAAACCTTAGCCTAACAATACTTAACCTTTCATAACCTAACCTAATATAACCACACCTATCATAACCTAACCGAACCGAACATAAATACGTAAATAGAAGGTTTGTTTAATGAAATAGTTGTGTTCTTTCATCTACGTTCAGCTTCAGTTTTAAGTGTTGACCTACAGTGAGGAGCCAACAGGTTGATTATGCTATTTATTACGAAAAAAAAAGGTAGATGTTTGTAGAGTGTCTATGTACTTGTACTACAAAAACGTATGTGTATTTGAAGGATACATAAATCGTCCCAGCACATCTGAGTTTGCGTACACCCACACATGACAATTTTGAACCATCATAAACTCCTTGAATCACTGAAAACAAAATCCAACACCAATAATTTATTTCTCTGTTAATGTATAGTTAAATTTTTACTTTGAATTCAGTATTAAAAGTATCCAAAGATATTTCCGTACTACACACTCACTCACTTGCTTGCTCACTAACGAAAGATACAAACAGGAGAGTATAATAATAATAATAATAATAATAATAATAAATCTACCTGAAATAAAAACTGACACCGGATCAAGACATCTGAGACGAAGGTAAACAATTCTACACCAACTCCCGTTTTCTGAGGGCTGTGTGTGTGTGTGTGTGAAGCAGTCTTTCAACTCGCTGAGCACCTCTGTCAAAACACCGGCCGGCAAAACACTGTACTCTATGGTTTACTGTCCATAACTACCATGACAGTTGACAGGAGAGGACAGTAAACAGTATATTATGGATAGACAGAGACTAAATGGTTATAGGTTAGGAGGGAGTGAGTGATTAGACATACCTTATAGGAGGGTTGAGAGAGGAACAGCGGTGGTGTACGTCTTACCACAACCGAGTCTGACAACGGACTGGCTGGTTGCGTTATAATGAGCCTCCAAGTGCGTGTCCGTCCCTCTGTGTGTGTGCGCGTGTGTGTGTGTGCCACCCGCCTCCGTGTACGTACATTTTTCTGGTTTTATTTGTTTTAGCTCTTATTCAATTTAATAGTCGTTGTAATTTTCAGCGGTAGAAGTACGGTACTTATAATTCCTCTGTGTGTCCGTAGTCTCCAGGAAGATATTCACGTACATTCTACAGTTACGTACACGAGGAAATTTACCTATATCGTCCGTGGAATTAATCGAAAGTTCTGGAATTTTGTTTAGTATTATATTTTTTTTTCCCATTTGTTCTTATTGAAGTTCTAGAAGTTTCTTTATGAGTAAACCTGAGCAGCTTCACCAGTAGGCGGGGGGGGAGAGGAGAGGGAGAGTGTGTCCTAATTTGTTGTCGTAGGAGTAACACAGTAGAAGGAGTGAGGGGGAGGAGGGTGAGGGGGAACACGATCTGAAGTCTCTCCCACTGCGGCACGAAGGATGACGTCACCCTTAAGATTGTAAAACAGCAAATGACGTCACTGCGAGGACGACTGTACAGTAGCGATGTCATTGAGGGGCTCTACTGCCGCAAAGACGTCACTATGGCGCTATACTACAGCACTAGGGTAACTCTGTGGGGCAACAGTAGATTAATGGCGTCATTGTGGTGGCAGTGCATTATGGGAGCTGGCTAGACGGTTATGACATCACCACTGATGAATTAAACTCCCGCTAAGTGAGGAGAAGCCTTACACCCAACACCTGTTATGAAGCCGAGGACGAGATGGTTGTCTCTGGTCAGCCCCGACAGCTGTCTGATGTAGGGGATATTGAGAGTATTACAGAGGGCAAGATAAAGAACTCCAGACATAATTACGTAATGTCTGTCAACCTAGACACCTGTACTCTCACCTTCGTAAAGAACATTACCTGTCTGGGTCACACTAATTAATGACCGGAATCTTAAATCTACACTGTTTGGATGTGTAAAGGAGACTCATAGCTGATACAATGGATGAAAATGTCAAAAAAAATATAGATTGTTGCACGAAAGTATATTATTATTATTATTATTATTATCATTAAGGACGAGGTTAAGGGTGGTCAGCTGTCAGTGTGTGGGGGGCGCTAGATGGTGGTGACGTAGGAGGATCTGTAAGTTGATGACGTCACTACGGAGGCAAGGACAGACAAGCATTTAATCACCGTGTGGGTAGAGGGAGTGTGGGGAGGGGGTTAGGTAGATACAGGAGGTGGGGAGGAGGAGGGTATGTGGGGGGGGAGGTGGGAGTGGGGAAGGTGTAGGAGGTCTTACAGGGACCGGGATAAATGGTGTCAGCATAAAAAAAAATAAAATGAACAATAAAACAGCACCATATGAGGTATTGTAGCCGCCGTGACGAGAGGTTGAGCAAGTAGGTGCTCTCCGGGCGGCGGTCAGGATCGACAAGCATTATATTTTACAACCAAACTCGAAAGGTGTTCATTGGACCTAATGGCTTTGACCTTTAGCTTAAACTTTCTCCAAACTTAATCTAATTCTGACCACGGGAAGGTTAGGTTAGGTGAATATGGTTTCTCTTAGTATAGACGCACACACACACACACACACACACACACACACACACACACACACACACACACACACACTTCTTCCCTGAGAAGTCCGTCAGATCTCACCCAGCTGACTTGCCCTGGATCACACCTCGGATCAAAAGACTTATGCAACAGAGAGACAGAGCATTTCATCTCAATGACCACATCCGCTACAGGTCACTTCGCAACAGAGTCATCCGCGAAATACGCACTGCAAAGAAGTCCCACTACCCAACCAAATTACAACACCTGAAGCAGACCAACATCAGTCAATGGTATGGTAAGCTTAAAGAACTCTGTGGACTAAACAATATGACACACCCTCTCCCCTTCCTTAGCCACCTCACTAATGTTGACGCAGCTGAGCAAACAAATAACCATTTCGCTACTATATGCCAGACGCTCCCACGGCTTGACACAACCACTCTCCCTGCTTACCTACCAGCCCCCCTTCCCACTGACTTAGTAGAGGAATTTGACGTAGCAAAACGCCTGGACAAACTAAAATTAAAACGCTCTACCACCCCCATTGACTTACCAATGAAACTATTCAAGGAGTTCTCCCCGGAGCTTGCTAAACCCCTCTGCTCCATCATCAATGCTTCTCTCAGTCAAGCCAGATGCCCAGCTGACTGGAAGACCTCTTATGTATCACCAGTGCCCAAGTCAACCAGCCCACAATCCTTAAATCAGCTACGACCTATTGCAATCACCCCAATACCCAGCCTAATCTGTGAAAGTTTTGTGTTTGACTGGGCTTATGCTGATATTGCAGGAGTCGTAGACCCTCAGCAATTTGGCAACATGAAAACTTCCTCCACCACTCACTGTCTTGTCAGCTTTCTCGATTACATATACCGCCATCTCGAGAAACGAAAAACGTCTGTAGCTGTCGCCTTCATTGATTTCACTAAAGCGTTCGACCTAGTCGACCACAATATAATCATAAACAAAGCTATTGACCTCGGGCTTCGGAGAAGTCTCATACCATGGCTTACAGACTTCCTCAGTGACCGACGCCAAGCTGTACGCTTCCGAGGGGCTGTCTCCACCTTTCAGTCACTCACCTGTGGCGTCCCCCAAGGCACCAAGATGGGACCACTCTGCTTCCTTATGCTCATCAATGATGCCCTAAGAGAAGCCCCTGCTCGCTGGAAATATGTCGACGACTCCACCATTGGGATCAGCGTCAACAATTCCGCTCCCAACTATACCGCCCTTCAGGATTTATTGAACAGTCTCCAAAACTGGGCCACCAACAACCATGTCACCATCAACCATACCAAGACAATGGTTATGCACATCAACCTCTCCTCCGACATTGTCCCACCTCCTTCCATTACCCTAGGTCCGAACACACTCCAGGTTGTAGATTCCACGAAGCTCCTCGGCGTCACCATAGACAACAAACTAAATTGGAAACCACACGTCAGTGAAGTTGTCAAATCCTCCAGTTTCCGTCTCCACCTCCTCCGCCGACTCAAGTCCCTCAGAGTTCCTGCACACGAGCTCCTCAGTGTTTACACAACATTCATACTTCCCAAGCTCACCTATGCCTCCCCTACCTGGTCTTCCTCCCTAAATGCCACACAACGTAAACACCTAGAAAAAGTGCAAAAGAGGCATGCAAGATTATTCTCTCCCCTTCCTACTCCACATATCAAGAAGCGCTCAACACACTGACCCTTTCGACTCTCACTGACCATCACCACGACCTCATCTGCAAATTTGGTAAGAAGCTTCTACACCATCCCCGACACCGGCCCCTACTACCACCTGAGATCCCCTGTCCGAGAATTGCTGTTCGACACCACAACCGCATCCAGCCCATACGTGCACGAACTGATCGCTATAAGAACAGCCCAGTCCCAACCATTGTAAAATTATCAATAACATGTAATAAATCAGTGTATTCACTCCCAGTAAACACTGCTCCCTACACTGTCACTATGTTGAAATGAACTGTATTTTGAGCTGATCCCCATCTAAGTTACTATATGTCTTATTTGTGTCACTTATGTCACTTGTATATTATTTGTAATTCGTAACCCATTCCCCAAATATGTAACTGTATATTTTTCAGCCTTCTGGCTGCCAAGCTCTTTCAATAAACCGTTAATTATTATTATTATTATTATTATTACACACATACATACACACTCTTCAAGTCGTGTTACCTTCACCCGACTATGAAAGTGACCAATATACTGATGTGTTCCGGCGGATGTTCTGTAACCTAACTTAATCTAACATAACCTAACCTAACCTAACCCCGAGTAGATAATAGATAGAGATAAGTATAAACTCACTCAACCAGCCACTACACACAACAGTCTTATATAAATAATAGTAGTCAACATCTATTTCTACATGCTCACTGGGTGGGTTAGGTAGCAGCGCTGAAGGGGACGCGAGAGGACACCCACAGATAGACGCTGAGTAAGACTGAGTAGGGCTGATACTGTAACGCGTTGGAGGATATTCACCATCTTCGCCGTAATGCTTAAAATACAGACTTGACTCATGACTAAAAGCTGAGTGAATAATGAAACACTTAGCTCTTAAAGATAACTCTGGCTGGGGGAAGCTTTTTTGTCTTTCATCATTTTTCATCTTTTTCATTTGCATTTCTTTATTATCTCTTAACTTTGACCTACATCAACTTTCTCTTTTCATTTTTGTTTCTTCTTGAGCTGTGTTCTTTATTCCTGTAGGTCTGAATCTACGAACTTTTCTCCGCAACTGTACATGCTGAACAAGGACGAAATTATATGGTGATTTTATTAAGCCTTTACAGTATGTGTCTTTCTAGTACAAGTAAACACAAACAGTTACGTTGATTTAGGAAAAGACAGCCGGGAAAGAGGTTTTTATTGAGAGGTTGTTGGTTTAATACTTCTCTCAGTCTCGACGCATAGTGTGAACTGCAGAATAGCTTCATCGAGATTGTAAATAAAATGCAATTCATGATGTCTTGTCCGAATATGTAGCATAATATGTTGTTGAACTACTTAATCACTTGTTAAGACGTCGAATGCTGTCAAACAAGCAAGCCAAGAGCCGAGTCACCTGATCTTATAGACATATGACCTCCGCTCAGAATAAGAATTAGTAAAAATAAGTGGAGGAAATAAAATACATAAAACCAACTATCATAGCCAATTAAGATGAGAATTAATTTGATAAATTGTAGTTTTTAACCTTCGGCGAAATTATTATATAGTTATACCTAAAATTTAATTTTCTATAACAACACTGTGGAAGAAAACGAAATGCTTATGAGGCAAACGTAACTAAAACCCACATTTTGTTTGATGCTTTTAGAGATTAATAATTTCGTGGTCTGAGATGCACGCAGAGGAAAGAATGAGTTTATATATCAAAGGGACTAAAAGCAAGACAATTCATTTTAATTATCTATTGTGGCCAAATTACCGAACTCTTTTAGAAGAAG